GGTAGAGTTAATATGAGTTGGAACTGATTAGATGGCACTTAGCAACAACAATCACTTCCGTAAGAGCAAATGTCTCATTCTCCCCATCCCCCACTTCTCCTTTCTCAGGTTAACTTCCTTACCTGTTGGTCTGCACTTACTGTCTCTTTTATTTATTTGATTTCTAACTCAGGCCTCAGTTTTTATCTGTTTTCTTCTTTTTTTTACTTTGTCTCGTCAGGTTATCTCTCACTGACACACACTTTTTACTATTTTTATCTGCTATTCATTTTTTCTAGCCTCCTTTACCCCAACCATCACCGAGTCTTAGCAATACTACCTTCTTAATATACCTCTAAATTATATTCTCTGCCTTCTATCACCATTGTAACTACGTTCCAAATCACCTAGACAATTGCAACAGCTCTGGTGGTCTAGTGGTAAGGAGTTGTGCTGGCAATCCAAAGGCACGTGATTCAAATCCATGAGCTGCTCTAAGGCATAAAGATGGGCAATCTCCTACTCTAAAAACCCACCAGCTTTACAGGGCCAGCTATAAGTTCATTCATAACAACAAAAACTGTGTGGATTGTATTTCCCAAAGATAGCTGTCACCACATCTTCCTCTTCTATATATTCTTCAAGGATTTTGTCTTTCCTCTATTAGAGATGTCTCAAACTTCCTTACTCTCAAATCTGGGGAGATCTTTGTAACTGTATTGACAGTGTTGTATTGAGTAAAACAGAAATTACATTATGTGACTAGATCACAAAACCACCAACTCAAACTCACAAACTCAAACATACAGAAATGATTGATACTACCCAGCTGTGTGATCAAGAATTCTCTCCCTCTCACACGAACACACTCTTTTCACATGTATATACATATACACATACATACACATGCAAACACATACATCCATATCCATACACATGTGCACATCACTTTCCCCCCTGGTTCTGCATTCTCTTTTCTTCACTGCTAACTTTCTCTTATTCTACATGTAGTGTCCCTTTTTCTTCTCCTTTCCATTATAATCACAGCAAGAAGTCCTGCAGAGGAAGAACTCAGTATCAAGTCTCTTTCCCCCCAAGTTTTTATGGGGCTCATTAATTCTTTTCTAAGCAAAGCAGTACGTGGGGAAACTTTTAAGGACCTGGTTCCAGGCTTTGGCCCTTAGGACCTAACCTGCCCTCTGGCCTCTTGCTTCCTGCTTGATCCCCTTTTTGCTCTTTCTTTCTCTCTCAATTTTACCATCAAAGTGAAGTTTCCACAAGTTAAGTAGGATATACTGCTTAGTTATCACAAATAGTTATTCCCCAATTTCTCAGACTGTCCTCCATTCTGTGTAGTCACACTTTTGAAATATCAATGAAGATCTACAGTGCTATAGTACATTCACTTTCCCCCTTTCTCTCCCTCCTTCCCCCTTTTCCTTCTTTCATCTGTATGTTTATTGTATGTCATGTATATGCCAGACTCTACGTGCTCTTTTTCTTCTTTAAACTTGTGTCTCTTTGTTATGCACATTTTCCTTGACATGAAGGCTATTCCACTGATGTCTGTTTCCCAAGATAATTGCAATTTATATTTTCGGAATGCTTACTATGTATGGAATTGTGCTAAGCAGTTTATCAGAAGTACTCATTTTAATACTCTTAAAAGATATTCTGGTGGCCTAGTGGCAAGAAGTTGTGCTGCAGTCTTTAAGGCTAGGGTTTGAATCACATCAGCTGCTCCATGGGAGAAAGATGGGCAATCTCTTCCTGTGCAAGTGTCTGTGAAAACCTGCTGGAGGGTCAATTATGGGGCAGTTCTGATTTGATGGTACACAACAACAACAACAAAAGATAGTAATTTTAATATCCCCATCTTATATATTATGACATGGAAATTTAAGGTTGAATAACTTATTCAGTACCCACAGATATATAGGAAATGGCATAATGAGCATTTTAATTCAGGAAATTAGCATCCAAAGTCCATAGTCCTTCCTCTCCCAGTGGACTACATGATCTATGAGTTGAGACTCTATCTCGTTCATGATTTAGCACTACTTCTGGCATGTAGTGGACACTCAATCAATATTTGCTGAATGTAATTATTAATTTTAAACTCATTCCTTTTATGTGAGCTGAAGGAAGGAGGCATAGGAATGATATGATTGTTGAAGCCAAAGAGACTTGGCTTTGAATAGAGGTCTGTTCTTAAAAGCTATGTGCCTTCAAAAGGACAAATATTGCATGATGCCACTGTTGTAGAATGGGACTAACCTCGGGGTTGGGGTGAGACTGAGTAAGATGGGTTCAATAATGTATACTGCACTGAAACAGAGGAGGGAGAAAACTGTTTAAAAGAGATATGTGACTAGGTATTTCTGTCATCACAGGAGTCTAGAGCAACGGCTACATGGTGGAGGGGACCTGGGGGAGGGTTTGTAAAACAATGAAAGAATCTTTTCTTTTACTTTTCCATAACTTTTGACTCATGTACTTATAACTTGTTAGTTAAATTTGTGTCTTCTAGGTTGCAACACCCCCATGATACATCTTCAAGGATATGAACATGTACGGCTAAGCACAATTAATAACAGTGCATCTAAATTCCAAAATAAATCTCCATAATAGTCTATGTGTTTCCTACTGCCAAAGGGGCCCTTTAGAGTAGTGAGAGAAGATCTTCACCCTGAAACCCACAGCGTCCCTTGTCAGCAGGAAGTAGCTAAGAGAATACGCCATCCCCTTTCCCTTATTAATCAGGGTGAAGTCTCTCTCAGGGAGGAGTGATAGGGAATGGCAAAGGACACACTGACAAAGGAGATTAAACAGAACTGGCTTTGACAAGCACTGTGGCAATTGGACAATTAAAACAGACATTCGGAGGGCGGGGGAAGAAGAACAAACTGGGGAAGAGGGTAGAGAGAATGGTATAGTAATGAAGGAATGAAAACCCAAAATCCTTGTAAATGTTCATTAATACTAATAAAATTTAATTATTAAAAAAAAGCTATGTGCCTTAATTTTCTTATCTATGAAGTGAGGATAATATACAGGAAGTAGGACTTTTGTGAGGTTTAAATGTCAGAATGTAGCCAAATCAGCCAGTTAATGTACCAATATATAGCAAACACTGATTAAAATCATTGTTAAAGTATGGAGACAGCCGAGTCTAACCTATACTGACTCCACACAGGGAAACTGTCCCCATCAAGAGCATCCACAAGACAAAAAGAATTCTCATGAGATCAGACATATACCGAACACTCTTCTACCTATTTCTACTAATTCCAGTACCCATCTTACTGCTTTACTGGGTCTGAAATTCACTGAAACTACATAGACTTCACAGAAACATATTCACAGTTACCAGGAGTTTATTAAGGAAGTAAACAGTTGGCAACAAGATATAATTTCTCAATCAGGACAGCTTCTGAAGTATGTGCACAGGCACTTCAGCCTGTTCAGCCATGCAACTTTAGGCTGGTAGTACAGCAAGCTTGGGCAAAGGTCTCTGGCTTTGGCTACATGAGGTAGCCATCCTAGGTCATCTCTGCCTTATGTTGAGTCTTTGGTTTTTTGTGACAGCTGCTGTCACTCCTCTGGAGGTTGGGCTGGCACAAGACTCTCTGGCACCAAAACAATATGCTGTATTCTCTGATGCTTCTTTGCTGGTAGTTGAGATTTCCAAATTTCTGTTGCTGAACCTGCTCAATTTAAACTGGTGAAAAGGTGAAATCAACCAATTCCCTGCTGGATAGATTAACACATATATTTTATGTCCCCACAAAGCCATGAGGCAAAATCAAAGACAATGGCCTGGGAAGTAACTTTGAATAATAGGCTCTTTACATCACAGAGATATATATACATACAAAGGGAGCTCTGGTAGTCTAGTGGGTAGAGTTGCACTGTCAACTCAAAGGCAGCATGGTGTGTTGTTGCTATGTGCTATTGAGTCAACTACGACTCACAGTGACCCTATGAAAATCAACCCTGAATCTTGCCCTATCCTGAGCCTGTCTCTGACACATCTGACCCACTGCCACAAACACTGTATCAATCCATCTCATCCAAGGTCTTTCTCTTCTGTGCTGACCTTCCACCCTTCCAAGCATGAGATCCTTCTGTAAGGTCTGGCTCTCTTAACAATATGCCCAAAGTATGTGAGATGGAGTTTCAAAATCCTTGCCTCCAAAGGGCAATCTGGATTTACCCTCTCCAGGACAGACCTGTTGATGGGTCTTTTGTTCAAAATGGCTTTCCTAGATCATTGAAGTCAGACTAAGACCTCCAGGAGAGCACTAGCAGCCACAATGGAGAACCAGAGACCTGATGTGAGACAGAGCTGACCTGGGACTGCTGCCTAAAAAGCCAGAGCCAGGGGTCTTTATGTAAGTTTACTGGAAGACTGGTGCATAGAGGGGCTAAGGGGAGATGCCTTAATTGACAGGACTAAGAGAGCATTTTTTATTTTTGTCTTCTTGAAATTGAGATGCAATTAATATTGAAGGCTGTATTCTTTGATCTTCTGTAATAAGCATTTCAAATTCTCCTCACTTTCAGCAAGCAAGGGTGTGTCATCTGCATAATGCAGTTTGTTGATGATTTTTCCTCCAATCCTGATACCATATTCTTCTTCATAGTTTAACTTCTCGAGTGATTTGCTCAGTGTACAGATTGAAAAGATATGGAGAGAGGGTACAATCTTGAAATACACCTTTTCTGAAGACAAAAATCTTCACCATTGGACTGGTAAGCAACATCATGATAGATGGAGAAAAGATTGAAAATGTCAACAATTTAATTTTACTTGAATCCACAATCAACACCTTTGGCCAGAAGGCAGGAGATCAGATGTTACACTGGGCAAGTCCTCTGTCAGGGATTTCTTCAAATCACTGAGGTACAAGAAGACTAAGTTTTGCCTGACTTAGGCCACAGTTTTTTCAATCATTTGCTATGCATCTGAGAGCTGAACAATGAATAAAAATGACAGAAGAAGAATTGGTACCTTTCAGAAGATACTGGTTTCCTTCGCTGGAGAAGAGTATTGACTATTCCATGGATTGTCAAAGAACAAACAGACATGTCTTGGAAAAAACCGCAGTCAGAGTAAAAATGCAGCCAGAGTGCTCCTTAGTGGCAAGGATGGAAAAACTTTGTCTCACATACTTTGGGCATGTTGCTAAGAGAGGTATTTTTCAGAAAAGGACATCATTCTTGGAAAGGTGGAGGATTAGCAAAAGAGGAAAATCCTCAATGAGATGGATTGATAGTGACTGCACCAATGAGCTCAAGTGTGTCAGAGGATGAGGATGGCATAGAACAGGATGAGGTTTAGTTCTGGTGTTCATAGAGTTGCTACAACTTGTATTCAACTTGACAGCACCTTACAACAACAACAACAACAACAATTACTACAACAACAGACCTCTATAATACTGGTCTAAAGCCACAAGACTGAAGACTGAAAGGCTTGCGAATACATTTAAGAAGCTATATGTTATGAGTCGCAAGTGACTCGATGGCACATAACAACAACAACAACTGACTACAACAACAACAACAATTACTACAACAACAGACCTCTATAATACTGGTCTAAAGCCACAAGACTGAAGACTGAAAGGCTTGTGAATACATTTAAGAAGCTATATGTTATGAGTCGCAAGTGACTCGATGGCACATAACAACAACAACAACAACTGACTAAGGCATTATATTTTGTTTTCACATGAGTTGTAACCTGTTAACACAATAAACTCCATAATTATGAACCTGGTTCTGTGAGGTCTGTGTGGCTATTGCAATGAATTTCAGACCCAGGAGAGCAGTAGGATTTGTGTTGGAATTAGTAAAAGGAGATGTGAGAGACATATCTGACCTCATGCGAATTGGGTTTGTGTTGTGAATGCTGATGATGGGGCAGTCCCCTCACATGGAGTTAGAAGAAATCAGATACAGCTGTCTCTGTGCTGCCCTCTCTCTTTTTACAGATAATTTGAATCCACTGGCTGCTCTGAGGGAGAGATGACAAATCTCCTCCTGTGCAATTTATAGCCTCTGAAAACCCACTGGATGGTCAGCTATGAGTCAGTTCCAACTTAGCAGCATATAACAACAACAACAACATATACATACATGTACATATAATACATATATGTTATATATTGTTGTGGCTTTCAGCAACATAGGGCCACTTCACTATGTTAGACACTTGGATTTGTCTCTGGTTATTTGTCAACACAAGGTTGCTGGAGACAAACTTCTTGTATATGTACCTATTGTCTTTTCCCTGAATCTTATTTTCTTATTTTTTTACATTTTCTTATTTTTATGATGGAACTTAAGTGGAGGAGTCTACTCAAGGCCCAGAAGAGTGCATACTTATGTGGTTCTTTTTTTTTTTAATGTGATTTAAAAAAAATTTTTTTAAATTTATTTTTTATTATTTTTGCGTGCGTGTACCGTCAAATCAGATCTGACTGGTACAGGAGGAGATTGCCCCTCCTTCCCCGGCAGAGCATCTGGTGGATTTGAACCGTGCACCTCTGGGATTGTAGTTGTAGCTTCTTGCCACTAGGCCACCAGAGCTCCCCACTTATGTGGTTCTTAACTATTTATTGCTTAACACATCCCTGGAAGGGACGATGGAGACGGATTAGACTTGAGTGTAGACTGAGGTTGTGGGACTTTTCTAATAAGGATACACTGGAGTCATATAGGCCTGGATTTGAATTCCAGCTCTATCCTATATCGTGGAAGGAGGAGTGGCACCCACTTCCGTAATAGCTTGCCTCCGGAAACCCTATGAACCTGGAGAGAGGATGAGAGACACCCAAGCATTGAGGACTCTCCTTCATACGGTCGCTATGAGTCGTCTGCAACTCCATGGCACTTAACAACAACAACCAAAACCCTATACAGGCATGAGTCTTCCTCTAATTATTGTTAACATATGCTCTGAGTCACTTGTGTGTCAGCAGAGCAACTCCTTACCACTAGGCCACCAGAACTCCCACTTAGGCTAATTAGACTGTCTAAATGTAGGTTTTCCCTTTTATATAATGATAATGTTCTTAACAGTAGTTACTCTATGAAGTAAAGATAAATTAACACTAGGAAAACACTCACCAAAAAGTTCTGACTCACTAACTCATTGCCATCATGTTGGAACCTACTTAGTTGACCCTCTAGCAGGTTTTCAAGAGTCTGTAAATTGCAACGAAGGAGATTGTCATCTTTTGCCTATGGAGCGGCTGGTGGATTCATCCTCTTTGGGTTGTAGTGCAACTCCCTACAGACTAGCCACCAGAGCTCCCTGGTCAATAGTTAACATTCAATAAATGTTAGAGATTATAGTGACAGTATAGTGATGCAAAACTTACACTGAATATTCACATCGCTTTGATTCTTACACAAGGATCATTTCACAGATGAAGAAGCTGAGACCCAGAAAAGTGAATAATTGGATCAAGAGTTACGTGGGGTTAACTGTCTGTCTGAACTAAGCATTCAGGAAACGAGGAGGCCGGATCCAGAGTCCTGCCACAGGTCCTCGGTTCTCCTGCTGCTTCAAAGTGTGGGATTGCAAGTTTCACTGATCATTGATGGACTCACTTGTGAGGGTTAAATCTGTTTTAACTCTGTAGTTTGGAAGTGAGGATCTGGTGATTCCCTTCCAAAGCCTTACAGGGAATCTGTAAGGGTGACAGCCCAGTGGGCGGGGCTTTAGAAGCCACAGCTACACGAAGCCACGCCCAACAAGGAAAACCCCACCCCCTCTCTCCAAAGCCAGCCTCTGAAGACCGCCCCCTAGCCCCGTGGCGCGTTAAGACCCTCGTGGTGCAGCGGGAGGGAGGGACCTCTTAAAATCTAGCCTTGTAAGAGGGTCCAGCGCCATGCAGCCCTTCCCCAAAACTCGTTTCTTGATCCTTTTTTACCATGCGTCCTGGTGCGCGCATCCTCATGAGTGATGATTTTAGTCCTCGATGGCCCGAAGCGGCGCAGAGTCTCCGCCGCTGGAATCTCGGACCCCGTTTCCGACATGAATCCCGTCACCTGCATGACCTGCCCGGGGAAACAATAACTCGCCGGTCGCATCGTTTGCGGTGGGTCCCAGCACCCAGAAACCCCACAGAGCGGCCCACCCCGCTCGCTCACTGGTTGCCTGTGGCCCCGCCCCTCGCAGTTGGCCACACCCCTGGTGGCCCCGCCCCCGAGGCTCCACCCCCGGCGGCCCGGGTAGGGTGGCGGCTGGCCCAGCCGGGCCCCTGCTGCCCTGTGCCCTGGGCGCTCGGTCGGAGCTGGCCGGCGCGGTGGG